TGTGTTTAGTTAGCTCACCGTGCCGCCGCAATCCTCCTGCATCTTGGAGAAAAGGAGATAATTGACAGACGTATAATCCTCTTCCTCCGCATGGGACTCCGGGGAACCATCGCGGTGACAAAGTGATGACACGTGGAAAAGTATTAAATCCAATTGTGGGAAAACAGCAGGGGAAGGAAGGAGCATAGACCGAGAGTAACATTTACATTACAGAAAGTGATTTAGAAAGAGAGTTGCTTACTGCCAGTCACTATTCCGGTCGGATCACATTGATTTAGACCCATGCAGGGCAGTGGTTTGGTTTTGTTAGCTTTTGAATGATGGAAATACTTGTTTATATGCTGTTTTGTCAGGTTTGGCTGATATATATATAATTATGTGAGATAATAGGGAAATGTATGAATATAAATGTAGATTTATATTTTATATCCAGGTATTATACACTTCTTTAGTCAATACTAATATGAAGCTTCTGGAAAATGTATTAATTGTCGAGTGATGAACAGTCCCCTTTTTTCACCCTTTGTATTTTTCATCACTGAAAAACTGGTGGGTTGCTTTAGTAATTAGATGAGTCATTGCTTTCCAGGCTTAGCATTAGTTTATTATTGTAAAAAATAAAAAGGTACACAGAGATGGAAAAATAGAGAAAAGGGGGAAAAACAATACTGTATAAATTCCATTTGGGGAAATTAAAACAAATTAATACAATTAACGAAAAAGGCGTTTTGTGTGTTTGTTAGCGTAATTAGCCATAGTTATTATAGAAGCAAGTGGGACTTGATTCACAGTAGGTGTGTGTGTGTGTGTGTGTGTGCACCTGCTATCCAGTTCTTTCCCACCTGTGGAATCCCGCAGCGGATGTTCAAGCTTTTCCAAGAATGAACTTTGGCTGCCGCTGTGGTGCGATCACGGCACAAAGACCAAAGGAGATCTTGAATGCGAACTGGCGTGTTCACTAGAAAGATATTACAAAAACTTCACCCAGCATGAGCGCGACTTCCTCCGTTCCTAATTACAAAAGCGTAAATGACACAGCGAACTTCATTTTGCCTTTTCCATCGTTTTCTCTTTTTTCACACAGCCCTGTAATGGGCTGAATTTTTCTGAATGCACAAACAGGTGAGGAGCTGCACCTGTGTCTCGCCCCAGTCACCACAGCTCTTGAATATTTACAGCGCACATGAAAGACATACCACAGAGTGTGTATGTCAATGGGTAGAAATCTCTTCCTGTTTTATCCTCTTTCATTTTTATTCCTACAGTCTTTTTCAGGTACACGTCATCAGAAATCATTTTCTGCCCTTGTGTCGCTTGTGTGGTGCAACCGTTGCTTTGTGTGAACCTTCCTTCCTCTCTAGTTTGCATTCAGCCGCTAAACCCCATTAGTCCTATACACAAATATTGAGAGTACACAAGGTTTCATTAAGACTTTTCAAAGTCTATTTGACAGGCAGGCTGTATTTTTATTTGGATGAATTCACCATATTGCTAAGCACAGCATAGATTTCACCTGCTGAGTTGCTGTATATAATGTAGAATTCCAAATCTGATAGCAAAGAGAATGTTTCATTGTTAACATTAACTTGTTATTTAATATAAAATCTAAAAATAAATATTACACTTGAATTACAATTGAAACTGACATCATGATATCATGACCAACCTGCTCATGCTAACCAGCTAAACTTGACAAAACAGCATATAAACACTCACATGTGTTATTTACATATATATTATTTCATTAACTTTTCATATTTTTATTTATATTCATAATATTATAAAATCTACAAAGAATTTAATGCAAATCTTAAAACAATAAATTAATAAAATAAATAATACCAATAATAATTTTATATTTTAAATAACATTGAAATTGTTATTTGTGTTTTTTAAATAGTATAATATCGTAATCTATCTATCTAAAAAATAAAAACTAAATATTTATAAATCATATTAACAGTTATTTCTATATTTTATACATACACACACAAGTGCATGATGGTGCATTAATGCAAACATTGCCAGGAGAATATGCTTGAGCAGATTTTGTAATGTGAGTTCAATCTTTTGAAGTGTGTGTAAACTCGTCTAGAGTGTGGAGGACAGATTTGAGCGCGAGTATGATCACTGAGATCAAAGATGCTGAGATGCTGAAGTCCTCTTTTGCTGCTGAAGAGCCTGATGACACAGGTGAATTAAATCATCTGGGATGCTTTTTTCTAGAAACTATTCGCCGGCCAGACAAACATATAAACACACTCGGGGGAGGCACAGAAGCACACTGAACTATACAGCACATAATGGAGCTAATTTCACCCCATTCGAATCCACACAGGAGAGTATGTACTCACCCAAGAGAGCATGCTTTGTTGAAAGCGATCCATAAAAGTAGCCCCAGCCCTCCACCCCCAAAGTCCCTTTCATGTGTGTTGTGAAGGTTAGCACATTCTCTTTGAAAGGCCAACAGATCTTTCCCCCGCAGGTGAGTGCTAAGGCCCGTAAGCCCCGCTCTGAGCTCCTGCTGCGCCAGGAGAAAAACATCTCTCGCTAACCTCTCTCCTCCCTTCAGCACCCATTCTCTGCCTTGCACTTTTGTCTCGTTCTGCCAACTTCTGTCTTCAAGGAGGTCCTGCATGTGAATGGCCATTGATTCGGCTTTGTGTGTTTGTTTGGAGTCGTCTCCTTCGCCGTCTAGTCCGGAGGCGACCTACCCTGAGGCCTCGGCTTAGAGCAACTTAACCAGGCATTAGCTGCCTGCTGCTCGGCTGAGAATGCATAATGAAAAGGAGCGTTTGATCGAAAGACATTTGTCCTTGGCTTAGTTAAAGCATCTTTGCGTTCCCTTTCCATTTTCAGGAGGTTTGTCAATGAGCCTCCCTGGAGTCCATCGGCATTTGCCACCATACCACCCCTCCCAATTTATCCTGGATCAAAGCGTTCTCTATAAAGAACTGGTAAAACAGCATCTACTGTATGTAAACTCTTACACTTAAAGGGATGCCAATGAAGAACCATTCAGTGAACAGTGAACAAAGTTCCTAAAAGAACCATTTTTTTCTTAAAAACTAGTGAGTAAGGTTACGTTTTAAGAGTGTAGTCACATTTACCGTTGATTTAATCCAGTCATTCCAATCCGAACAATCTGGTGTTTTGTGTGAACCCAAAACAAGAGATTTTGATCTTGTTCAAGTTAATCATGCAACTTTCGCTGATTTGACGAGCAGAAAGACTTTTGCAGACTTTCCCAGATTTTGTCTCAATTAAGTCTGTACAAGTTGACACTAATTGCTGAAAGTCAGAGCCAGTCTGCAAATTTGAGTTGACAGATTTCCTTGAAAAACCCATAGTGTATGATGGTCACAGACCCCGATTGTTTAGCTGCAGACTATGATCCCATCCAGTCAGAGGATATCAGAAATTTTGAGCCAGTTTTAGAAAACATATTGTTTTCAAGTAGCAGTCTATGGAAGCCATGGAATAAAAGAACAAAAAAGGTACATTTGAGTTTTATTCTCGCAATTCCAAAATTATATCTCACAATTATGATAAGAAAAATCGACTCCTCATCTCGCTCAGAGTCATGAGTTTATATCACACACTTCTTTCTGCCTTTTTTCCTCAGAATTGACAAACTTGCTATTGTTGAGTTAAATCGAGTTATAAAGTCTGAACTAGGAGACATAAACTTGCATTTGCAAAAAAAAAAAAAAAGTAGTCAGAATTGTGAGATAAAATAGGTAAATGTTATACAAAATGTTATAGGTTTAAATAGTATTTCATGCTGTATGCAATGAAATAAAGTATGAACTGCATATGTGAATATTATGTAGACCTATTTTTTATATCAAATTTATGCTTTTAATATAGGGTAATCATAGCAGGTTTCATCCATAGTCTGTCCTTTTAAACGTCTCCGTTTAGCTTCAAATGGCGTTGTTGATGACAGTATTCTATAAAAATCAAAAAGCCACAACACATTTTTTCTCTTATTCCATGGATTTTACCCATTTCCCTCCACTTGTTACCAGTGTTTTTCTGCCACCACAATGCGCACGCAGCTGCAAGTGACATAACTGTGTCGTCTACTCCAAATTGGTCTATAAAGAACCCTCATTTTTAACAGTACTTAGCTGTGATTTAGACCTGAGAATAAGTGAGAGATCTTCAGTGAGATATTCAACTGCTCAAACATGCAGAAAGGTGTGGCAGCAGCCTGTCACAAAGGTCTTGAGGCCTGTTCCAGCTGCCCTGTGAGCCTTCAAGGTACGAGGCCGACTACACACACTCACACATGCATTCATCCCCTACCAACTGCTCCCCAGTCTGCCAGGACACAGGTGCGAGCGCTCTGATGCTCCTCTGCTCACGCTGCACAGCCGTATCACACTTTCTACTCAAAGCCTGTGTTCACGATCCGCACCCCACTGCGATTGTGCCCTCTCATGTACCCTCACTCCACATCACCCCCAATGTCACACCTTTTCAGATGTAAGGCCAATGCACACAGTCCACATGAATGCTAACATGCAGAACTAGCTGCTAACATCATGTTTGATATTTAATGTAACATTCAACAGAATATTGACCTCGTTTTTGCTCTTCTGATTTTTTTTAATATTATTACTTATATAAATAATTATATATATATATATTAGGGCTGCACGATAAATCGCATGCGATATTTAATGCGCATCTTGTCAGTAAAGCCATGTAAAGCTTGTCAGTGAAGAACGGCTCTGTGTAGTTAATGCTGCTCCATGTGAAAGCCCGCACGTGATGGAGATTTACCGCTGATTAAAGAACTGGCTTTACTGACAAGATGCGCGTTAAATATCGCATGCGATTTATCGTGCAGCCCTAATATATATATATTAGGGCTGCAATATATATATATATATATACTCCTTTATGGTCTCGTGATGTTTTGTTTCTTAATTATGACATAAGGGCAGATTTATAAGTGATGTCTTGGACTGTCACCTCCTGTTTGCGCCCGCTGGTGGTGTACAGCAGATTGAGAGAGGGAGAGAAGGAGAGGAAATTGATGTTGGCTGAGAGACACAGCATGGACCAAGGAAAGCAGGAAGCTGGTAGTGTAGATTCCTGAGATCGGGAGGGGTCACTGGCGAATGAGCACAGAGAAACGTAATGACGGGACTGAAAAACGAGATGCTAATAAAAGATTTGGCAGGAGGCCTTAATGCACTGAGTCAGAATATACTATCTGTCTCTCTTTCTGTCTCCCTCATTCTGCTTCCCAGCTGGTGAGTCAAATAAAGCACCCAGCCACCCGAATTCTTCGGAGAGTTGGAGTGAGGAAAGAAAGAAACCCTGGCATTTGAAAGCTTCCTTCTTAACTGAGAGCGCGAGGTGTTTGTTAAATGGCTTCAAACTCTTAAGTTGCCTGGATTCCTCTTCCTGTCTTTTTCACTCTTTCTCTCACCCACCAGGCTCAGAGGGAAGTTTCTCTGGCCAAAAATCAAATGAGGGTGAAGATGAGGACTTATGTTCATTATGTCGGCTCTCGTGGTTGGCTTAGTAGACTGCTTAGACAGAGCTCAGTGTTAAATTGTGTGATTCCAGGTCCAATTAATATGGTCTGTCACAAAGTTTTGATGGCAAGATTTTGTGCATTTAATCGATTGTAAATGTATGACGTGATCCAAATAAGACAGCAGTCAGCAATTATGCACACACGTGCATGGCATCATCCTAAAAATTCAGTTTGTAATGTAGTTTAAAATGTCATCATTCAATATATTACAAAAATAAATAAATATATTTTAAAAAAAATGACAAATATAATTTTTTCCATACTTAAAAAAAAAAAAAAAACATGGTCATAAGAATTCAGTTTGTAATTTAATTGAAAAAAAAAAACTTTTTTTCTCAAACTAAATTTTTATTAATTCATTTTATATAATTTATTCTATATTTTAAAAACAGAGAGATGTTTTAAATGTGTGACAAAATTCAGTTTGTAATGTATTTATTAAAATACAGTATATTTCAAACTGAATTATTGTGATGTCATACATATGTGTATATTTGTTGATTGCAGATTGTAAAATATATTTTATTTTATTATTTTATTCCATTAAAATAAAATATAATTACTTTTTACAGTAATTGTATGACAATTCAGTTTGTAATGTGTTCTGAATTATGATGTCATACATACAGTATATGTGATCATTTGTTGATTGTAGACTGTAAAATATAATTCAATTTTATATTGTAACATTGTATGAAATCATAAGAATTTTTATCATGCCATCTATTGTAAAAATAAAAATAAAATATATAGTTTATATAATTTATAAAATTTTTATAATTGTATGACATAATTCAGTTGTATTTTTAATTGAAATGCATTCAAAAATGAATCATGGTGATGCATATGTGTATATGGCGTCGTCTCGAGTTGCTGCTCTGCCTTTGGGACTTTGTGCGCAAAGTAAAATGAGATTTGTCGTACACACATCATTAGCTTGATGAGTGGGACAAGCGCTGTGCTAGCAGAAGCCTCGCACTCTGAAACTGAAGTCTGCGAATCCCAGTAAATGGTGCACAGAGCCGAGCGTGTGCTTCTTGTGATAATAATTGGGCAGTTGATTTGACATTCCTGCAGAGTGGCCGATGAGCCGCCCATAGCTCACAATGAGCCATTCAATATATAGATCTGTGCCTGGACCATCAAGAAAACACAGGGATGTCACACAATACAATTATAATGAAGTGTCCCCAAAACAGCTTGTAACCTTGTGTACTGACTGTACGTGAGGAGGGTTGGGGTTGGCAATAATTCACACCGTGCCTCCTGCTTTGGATCTGGCGATGAATTAGTGGCCTCAGCCAGTGTCACATGTCTTATTGTTAGTCATGGCGACCCTGCCAAGTCTCAAGGTCACCTGTTCCGCCCAGGCATGAATAATCTATTGAAGGATTGGTTCCTCCTCACTGGCTGCATGGAGATGTGTCAGTGTGGATTATTTGTGCTTTATTGTGCCTCCATTGAACGAGCAGTCAGTTCTGACCATACAGGAGAAAACAAGACTGATTTGCTTTATTAGCTTAGCAACGCATTTCTGTTGTTTTCTTTTTTCACTTGAAGGTTTGGGGTCGGTAAAAGTTTTTTTATTTTTTTTATTTTTTTTTTTATATACAGTAGGTACGGAAAGTATTCAGACCCCCTTACATTTTTCACTCTTTGTTAAATTGCAGCCATTTGCTAAAATCATTTAAGTTAATTTTTTTTCCTCATTAATGTACACACAGCACCCCATATTGACAGAAAAACACAGAATTGTTGTCATTTTTGCAGATTTATTAAAAAAGAAAAACTGAAATATCACATGGTCCTAAGTATTCAGACCCTTTGCTCAGTATTTAGTAGAAGCACCCTTTTGATCTAATACAGCCATGAGTCTTTTTGGGAAAGATGCAACAAGTTTTTCACACCTGGATGTGGGGATCCTCTGCCATTCCTCCTTCCAGATCCTCTCCAGTTCTGTCAGGTTAGATGGTAAAAGTTGGTGGACAGCCATTTTTAGGTCTATCCAGAGATGCTCAATTGGGTTTAAGTCAGGGCTCTGGCTGGGCCATTCAAGAACAGTCACAGAGTTGTTGTGAAGCCACTCCTTCATTATTTTAGCTGTGTGCTTAGGGTCATTGTCTTGTTGGAAGATAAACCTTCGGCCCAGTCTGAGGTCCTGAGCACTCTGGAGAAGGTTTTCATCCAGGATATCCCTGTACTTGGCCGCATTCATCTTTCCCTCAATTCCAACCAGTCGTCCTGTCCCTGCAGCTGAAAAACACCCCCACAGCATGATGCTGCCACCACCATGCTTCACTGTTGGGACTGTATTGGACAGGTGATGAGCAGTGCCTGGTTTTCTCCACACATACCGCTTAGAATTAAGGCCAAAAAGTTATATCTTGGTCTCATCAGACCAGAGAATCTTATTCAGGTGTTTTTTAGCAAACTCCATGCAGGCTTTCATGTGTCTTGCACTGAGGAGAGGCTTCCGTCGGGCCACTCTGCCATAAAGCCCCGACTGGTGGAGGGCTGCAGTGATGGTTGACTTTCTACAACTTTCTCCCATCTCCCGACTGCATCTCTGGAGCTCAGCCACAGTGATCTTTGGGTTCTTCTTTACCTCTCTCACCAAGGCTCTTCTCCCCCGATAGCTCAGTTTGGCCAGCTCTAGGAAGGGTTCTGGTCGTCCCAAACGTCTTCCATTTAAGGATTATGGAGGCCACTGTGCTCTTAGGAACCTTAAGTGCAGCAGATTTTTTTTTGTAACCTTGGCCAGATCTGTGCTTTGCCACAATTCTGTCTCTGAGCTCTTCAGGCAGTTCTTTTGACCTCATGATTCTCATTTGCTCTGACATGCACTGTGAGTTGTAAGGTCTTATATAGACAGGTGTGTGGCTTTGCTAATCAAGTCCAATCAGTATAATCAAACACAGCTGGACTCGAATGAAGGTGTAGAACCATCTCAAGGATGATCAGAAGAAATGGACAGCACCTGAGTTAAATATATGAGTGTCACAGCAAAGGGTCTGAATACTTAGGACCATGTGATATTTCAGTCTTTCTTTTTTAATAAATCTGCAAAAATGTCAACAATTCTGTGTTTTTCTGTCAATATGGGGTGCTGTGTGTACATTAATGAGGAAAAAAATATAACTTAAATGACTTTAGCAAATGGCTGCAATATAACAAAGAGTGAAAAATGTAAGGGGGTCTGAATACTTTCCGTACCCACTGTATATCTCTTGTGCTCACCAAGGCTTCATTTATTCATCAAAATTGTGATGGCAAAGCTCAATTTTCAGCAGCCATTACTTCAATCTTCAGTGTCACATGACACTCTCAAAAATAATTTTAATATGCTAAAAAAAACATTTCTTATTGTAAAATAATTAATTTAAAAAAATATTACTGACTCTGAACATTCAAACAGTAGTGTAAATGTTTATTTTGCTAGGCAAAAGGTGATATGAAAGTGTGAAACAAAGATATTCCCACTCACACAGAGAAACAGTTTAGCATGCATGTTTAGGGAAGATAAACATCTTCAAAATCTAGCAAAGCAGATCAGATTCAAAGCCCATGCAGATCTGAAGAGGACACTGTGTTTGAGTGTGTGTGTGCGTGCATGGGAGATCTCATTATTTAAAGTGGACAGCATGTTCTACCTCACCTTGTCACACATGCTAGTTTGTGCCACTCAGGACTAGCCCTTGTCTTTCTCTCACACAACGCATGCTAAATGTCAAGCTCTCTCTCTCCCCTCTTATATGGTACTTACTCCTGTCCTCTCACACTCACACAAGTGTCCCTGAGGACGTACCAGCCTGCTGACCCTCTAAATACGCAAATAGTCTTCATACATGGCACAAAACCCTAGGTGTTCCCCTTGGTTCTGTCTTAGGCCCGATACAGAACTGGCTTTCCCTCTGCTCTGTCTACAGATGCACCACAGATGTCTGTATGTGTGTGTGTTGAAAATACATATTTTGACCTCAGGAGATGCAGGTGCAGTGTCCCGTTACCATTGAGAATGGGTAGGGGGTTTGAAAACTTTTTCAAGGTTAGCAGAAACCCCACAGACCAGAAACAAACTGAAGGGAACCCCAGGGATAGGCTTTTGTTGGCCAGACACACACAGTGAAATCTGGAACAATAGGGATTCGGGAGCCGAGTTGCAGAGAATAATTTTTCATGACATGGCTTGGCCTTTAGCAGAGAAACATCTGAAAGAGCAATTTAAAATATGATTAATGATGATAATAAGGTCAAGTGGTCATAATTTATACACTCCGAGCCTTGCGCATTACATGAAGAAAGAAAAGCAACTGGCTATACTTCTGCGAAAGTAAACACAGATATCATTTTAGCTATGAACACTTTAGCGCAGAGAGTTGATGCACTTTCATTTCATCTCATTTTGAATGAGAAAAAGGAATAGTCGTTTCTTCAATCTGAATATCCTGATTGTATTTCAATATGCATTGTAAATGCCATGCAGGGAAAATGAGTACATCTATCTGGATCGATTTCTAAATCAAAGGGCCTGTTTACACCTGGTCATTTCATGCGTTTTCGCTGATCGGATATCTATCTGATTTGTTCAAACGTTTCCATTTACACTTGGCCACATAAATGTGTCGTCGCAAAACGGAAATAAATCCAATCTTCAATTCCCGCACTATATTTAAATTTAACGGAGTTCACGTCAACAAAATCAAAAGATAAGCGCTGCATTTGATTAATTATCAGCTCATTTCAAGATCAAAGACCGCAAGAGGAGAGCGCGCGGCATCAGCACTGGAAAGATAAGTTCGTCTTACTACTTTTAATGAAGATGATTGTGTGTTGACCGTCTGCGTATTACTTTGTTTCCTTTGCGGCAGTTTGTTTCATTCGGCTTGCTGAAGAAATACTCAGCTACTCGTCCGCGGTGATGCGTGTTGCATTAGTGCAGTCATATCTGACTATAATGTCATATAGCCTATAACACGCTCTCACACGTTTATTATTTTAACATTTTGGGAAGAGTACAATTTACATATGTGGTTTCAACAACCAGATGCATTTATACTTGTCCAGTTTCGTCTGGAATGTGGCCCAGACCACCTCCTGAAGTGGTTTGAGCGATTGGATTTATATCCGTCTCAAATGCGTTTCAGAAGGCATTTACACCTGGCCTTTTCACGATCGGATAGCTATCCAATCAGACAAAACGCATGAAGTGACCAGGTGTAAACAGTCCCAAACTGCTCTCAAACTTTAACAGGCTTTTTGAATTACCATGTCCCATTGTTAATTTAAAGGAAAACGAAAACAGAAGCGACATGAAATAGAGAAAGAAACGATCGACGAAAATAAGATACAAAATGACATTGTCATAAGAAAAAAGTTTCTAATCTGATCATGCAGTGTTTGAGGTGAAGGATAGATTAATATTGTTGGGAATTACAGTTCGGGAAATCAATAACACAAGTGAAGATTCTTCCAGCATATGCGCTAAAGTCATTTTCCGCTATCATCTGTTATTCCCAGACACTTTTCGGGTCTTAAATGGGTGAGTGATGACTGCTAGATTATTTAAAAACATTTCTTCTCATAAATTCATGAGGTTGTTTGTGTTTCCATGTGTTTGTCTCCCCAAAGACAGACATCATCAAACTATTAAATATGGATGGAAGACTTTTGTTTGTTCTGCTCAAATCACTGCACTTCTCTTGTCAAACGCACATTGAACCAATGGCACGGGTCCCGGCGTGTGAGGTTTGCGTGTGTTCACGACCTGGGTCTCAGCTTTACCTGAGCTATTTGAGCATTTATATTCACAGGACAGCAGCTGCACTTTCCCTTTTCACTTTTTTAACTTTCATTTTTCATGTTTTCCCTTTTGTTCCCTTATTTTTCCCCCTTTGTTTCCCATTTTAAAATACATAATTTTTTTAACCCTTCTCTACAATCCTGGACCCATTTGACACCATCAGAACAGCCTACAATAATCCAAAATGTGGTTTCTTCTGAGCTGAGATGAAAGGAGGGAAGATGCACACACACATACACATGCAGTGCCGCACTAGACACTTGGCTCTGTGATATGGCAGGGCTGCCTTGGGATAGCTTCAAAGCCCAGTGACATAAATTTATGATAGCAGCGCCACACTTTTTGCCAAAACTGAGCTGTTGTTGTTCTACTGAGAGGCAGAGTGAGGAGAGAGGGAGGACGTACTGTAGAATGCATGCGCATGATAGGGGGAGAACGGGGTAATTCTTTGCCATCTTTTTGATCATGTTCATGGAAAACTCTGTTATTTAGCCAGATAATTCGCATTTTCCTCATTGAAAGTCTTCTGTTATGGAATGTATGACTTTGTTTAGCTTGGTTGTGGTGTGTGTATATATTTATCACTATTTAGAAGTTTTGGGTTTGTAAGATCTCTTAATGTTTTTAAAAGAGGTCTCTTATGCTCACCAAGGATGCGTTTATTTGATTTATTTAGGAAAAAAGGTCACATTTTTTTATTTTAATTAATTTAATTTAATTTATGGGCTTGTTATGCCTTTATTGGGATAAGACAGTAGAGAGCTGACAGGAAAGCATTGGGTGGAGAGAGGGGAGTGGGATCAGCAAAGGACCTCGAGACTGGAATCAAACTCTGGTCATTGCGAGCGCAGTTGCACTATATGTCGGCACACTAACCACGAGGCTATCAGAGCCGGCTTTGTTGCAATGTAAAATAACTGTTATCTGTTTTAAAAGTATTTTAAGTAATTTATTTTTGTTATGGCAAAACTGAGTTTCCATCAGTCATTTCTCCAGTCTTCAGTGTCACATGATCTTTCAGAAATCATTCTAATATGCAGATTTGCTGTTCTAGAAACATTTCTTATTGCCACCACAGTTTAAAAGTTTTGTGCTGCTTAATATTTTGTGGAAACCATGATGACTTATCTGAAGAGAGTCTTTTTGAATGATTCATTAAATGGGTCCTATTATGCTCTTTTACATAGTCTTGATTTTGTTTTGGGGGTGTTTTAGAACATGCTCTCATGCTTGGTGGTTCGAAAAACGCATTAGTTTTCACATAATTTACATTATTACAATACCTTTCTTCCCAGCCATGGCACAACCGGCTCGATTAGTTCCGGGTTTGATGAAGGCTTGCCTTCCGAAAAACGAAATGTGCTGTAATTGGTTAGCTGTCCCAGTGCGTTGTGATTGGTGAACAGCTTAGATGGTGTTTCAGTACTACCACGCCCCTTGCCAAAGCAGCAAGTTCAGTTTGCTCCGATATAGTTAAGGATGGCTTCAATATTGCCATATCAATTTGAGCCGGATTCAGACCCCGAGAATATTGAACAAAAGGATCGCGCAGAACCTTTGCACGCACGGATATTGCAAGACATATTAGAGTGGTAATGTTATTGTTGGTGTTTTTTTTTTTTGCTAAATCACATTTTAGATAGGATGTCAACAACCACTTAAAAATAACTGCATTTACTATGTACAGATAAGTGCATATGTATTATGTTTATTGTTCTTTAATTCTAACATTATAACATGAATTGCAGTGAAACTGTTATTATACAGTTGAATGTATTTATACCATAGTCCAGTGTTTCCCACAGACTTAGACTCTATTTGTGGTGGCATATATATGCAAATTTATTCTCTGCCAGCAGGAGGCGCTGTTGGAGTGGTGGAGATCGAGGTTTCCCTGGTAACTGCTGTACACAAAGCAGCGCTCTGCTCACAAACGCTACTTTCAGACATTACATGCAAGATGAAACGAGCGGCATTTCTGCAGCAGCACTTCTTCTTTGTTGTCGTCTTGTCTGATTCACTCAACCAAGCCTTCTAACCATGACCTCGCCCTCCCCATCCCCCAACCATTCGAATTTCCGTAGGCAGGAATTATTTTAATTATATTCTAATGGATCGCTTTATGACATCACAAAACCCGGAAAACAACGCTGTAGTCCAAACGAGCCATTCGTTGTAGTTCTTGAAAAGGGATTTTTATGAAATGAAATATCTCCCTTTCGAGTGGACTTTGTGATTTGCAACTTTGTAGATCTTTTTTATGCCCAAACATACACACTACACACTGACTAAAATTCAAAAAGTGAAAAAGCATAAAAGGACCCCTTTAAAAGCACCAGCAGATATGAGTCGTCTGTTCATGAATCAGATTACACCAGTTGTTCTGTATGATTGTTCATTTTGCCGGTACACTGTTTTTTATCTCACCAAATTAAATATAGACTGCAAACTCACATTCACAACTGCAGTAAAATAACTGATTAAGTAAAATAAGTGATTCAGCTTTGCTGAAAAGTGGTGCGGGAAACTCTAACTCAAGTGTTACGTTACGACAATCTGTTTTTGCACTGATGACAGCTTTATTCATTTGTGACGAATAATCTTTTGGTTCGTTTGAGATGACTTTTTACTTCACTTGATTATTTAAAATTAGCCAGAATTTTCACATGGTTATTTCTTAACTGAATTTCCCGCCAAATTAATATTTTTTCTCTCTTTCGCTCTCTTTCCAGAGGAGGATTGTGTGAACTGCACGGAGGAGTGTCGAGTGCTGGGTCATTCTGACCGTTGCTGGATGCCCCAGTTTCCTGCAGGGGCTGGAGTAGCAGGAACTCCCCAAGCCGAGGGCTCGGACTACCGCACCAACCTCTTCGTACCGGCCGGCATGGAGGCAGTCGCAGTGGAAACCGAAACTTACGAGACGGTGTGCAACCCCAACGGCAAAAAAACATTCTGCACATTTGGGAAGGAGCGTCGAGACCACACCATCCTCGTGGCGAATGTTAAACCCTACCTAAAGACCAAACGTGCCCTCAGCCCTCTCTTGCAGGAGGTTCCGTCTGCTTCATGTAGCCCTACCAAAGGCTGCAGTACAGGTTCCCCGTGCTCTTCGGCCAAAGGGATGGGCGACGGAGCAGAGGGCAAGCCCGGCACCAGCCACTACGGACCCCCAGATGGACAGTACATCTCCCCGAACAAGCAGAACAAAGAGCAGGGCTACTCCACGCTGCCTCCCTCCGACCCCGTAGCCAAAGTCCTGGCTGAAGCACGTTCGCGGATCAGCCAGGAGACGGCGGTGGAAATGGACAGCGTTTTGGAGCAGGGCAGAGGAGAGATGGGCCGCAGCACCATGGACGCAGGCCAGGTGGTCAGAGATATCGACAAACTGCTGCAGGATTGTCGGGGAAACGAAAACACCCCCATCAGAAAGTAAAACGGACTTTGCGAGCATTAGAAACTACAGCGGAAGAAACATGGACCAAGTCGAGACGCTCTCCGAGAGAGTGTGACGCAGATGGAGACAAAAAAACGTGTACTTGAAGATCTTGACAAATAAACATAGAGAGTAAAAGAACAGTTTGCTTACGTTCGTTTGGATGCCGTGTTGTGTTTTTGGGGGCAAGGGAATTTCTTTAGAGTTGCAGAAGTTACTGCTTCTGGCTTCTTGTGAGCTTTTTTCTTCTTCTTCAAGTGCCCACCAGCTTCAAACTCTTTCTTACGGTGACGTCTTTCTGTCACTGAACTACAGACGGAGCGTCCCACCCTTCTCCTACAGGGACTTTTGGAGGAGAAGGGGTGGACGAAAATGGTTTGTTCTGACAATCGCAAGTCAAAAGGGTTCGGGGTGCATCGGACACCCCCGGAACAGTTGGACCACACCAAGACAGAGACTCTCTCTTTAACTTGTATTGGCTTTGTAATATCAGCATAAGAAGTGCAAATTATATCAACAAACTCGGAGGGGGTGTGTGGGGCCATGAATCTTTAGGGCGGGTGGGGAGGGTTGATTATGAAAAGTAACCATTCTTCACCTGTCATTTCTAGTCACGTGTAAACTGTGTCCTCCTCCCCTAATGTATACGTACACATGGAACATTCCAGAACGGTGAACCTGTTACTCTCACTTATTGGTCCTCTGTGATCATCTGTCTTCAGCTTTTCACTACTTTTAAAGTGAATTTCCAGTGTCTGACGTTAAGTTATAACAGTCACTCTCTTGTATATTAGGGACATTTTTCCTCAACTGTGAAAAGATATATCTATATATACATATAGATAATATATATAAATATATGAACTTATGTATAGTGTCCAGATAACTGAAAATATTTATACATTTTGTAAAAAACAAACAAAAAAAAGCATTAATCTCAGAAAAAAAGAGGGTGCGCACAGGATGAAAATGCAGTTGAAAATATTTATTGAACTGCAAAGGACACTGTTTCAATTTCAGAAAAACAATACATTAACTACAACAAAAAAAGGATTTTAAAAAAGGAAATGTCCCTTCTCATTGTCACTTATACACAATATCATTTTAATGTGCAAAATGTATCCAATTTAATGTGTTTACATCAAAACGACATATTTTTATTAATTTTTCTGCAGTTTCTGTGCATTTGAGCCAAATTGTTACGTGTACAAGAGCTATATTGTGTATTTTATTAAATTAATATATGGTTGTGTTGTAATATACATGGGCTTATATTGTACTTGGCAACTGATGCCTTCGTAGTCGTCAAACTCTATGAGTTTAATTTCCATTCGGTTTTATTCTTCGTTCACACTTCCGCTCTCACTTTCTGCTTCGCCACGCTGCTGTGTGTTTCGACAGGTTATGTTGTTTGAAACACGTGTTGGAAAAGACTGCTTACATGCCATGTTCACTACTTGCTAAGCAACTTGTTTTTGTCTACAAGAAACAAAACTAAAAAATAGCCACACATGACTACAGTTTGCGTACTTTTTTACAATACAAAGACTGTTTTATGGGCAGCTGATTTTACAAAAATGGTTATTGTTTGGGTTCACTGAAGTGTTTTTTTTCTCCTCAGCCTTCTTGCTCTATTTTGATTTGATGAGCATCGGCAGGAAATCCTTTGTGAACATTTAGTGATGCTGTCTAGTCTGTTTAAGGTAATTTGTACTGCAGAGGGTCGGAAGAATTCAGAAAAAGAACATGCTGTTCATTGCATAAAAAAGACCAAAAAGAAGTTCCCTCTGAGGAATTTGTGAAGTCATGGATCTATTTGGTCATATTCTCTATTCTTTCTGTGAATGCATAAAACCTGCCACATTTAAAAACTTTCTCTATGACTTTTGCGCTGTTCCAAAAGTTGCCTCACTGTCTTGAGTTTAATACTCAAAGTTTGACGTAAGAGGAACAA